TACCTCTCTCGCCAAGATCTTCACCAAGAACCATGCCAAGAAAACGCTCTAGGTGAAAGCTCTTGACAGCCCGACAATTCGAAAGTTGGAATCTACAAGAAAGAAGATCGGTAAATAAGGGAAGAAAAGGAGAAAGAAAAGGGACACGAAAGTAAAAATGCCTACCTGATCTGGAAGAGTGGGAAAAACGTTGCATTACCCACTAGAAGAAAAATGTTGAAAGAACGAAGCTAAATGAAATTAAAAAGATGTGGATGATCAATCAACTAGATAAATGTGGCAATCACGTGGGTGACATCACATGAAAAACAAGACGAAGTGAAGAAACTGACCTTATACTGCCCTGAAACGGATCTAGAAACTGGCCCAATCCCACGAAGCACCAAAAGAATCTGATAACGTGATACCGAATCCAGGAGAAACCCTAGAATAAAATAAATAAATTAAAAGCGATAACGAAAAAAGAACAAAAATACTTATCTGTTATGTCCTAAGTCCTGATGTGAGGTCAAGTAAAAAATAATAATAATAATAATAATAATAATTTAGATGAATTTAAATTATCAATTTAGTTTTTTTTTTTTAGTTTTATAGTTTTAGTTTTTTGATGTTAGCGAATCTGAGTTTTTAATGTATAGTTTTGATTTAACGAAATTTTTAGTTTAAAGTTTGATTTTAGCGAATTGTTTAATGTTATAGTTTAGCGAATTTTAGTTTTTATAGTTTTGATTTTAGCATTAGTGATTTGATTTGAGTTTATAGTTTTAGAGTTTATAGTTTTGACGTTTGTGTATTTGTAAGTTGAAGTTTGGGTATGTAGTTGTAGAGTGTAACGATAAAGTCTGGTCTGACGAAAAATAAGACCTACGCTAAGTTTGGCTATAGGTTAGCCTTGTGAGTTTTAGTTACGGGTTAGCCAAGATATAAAAACTCCTGAGTTTTTGGTTATGGATTAGCTGAGGTATAAAACCCCTGAATTGAATTAAGAGTTCTAGTTACGGGTACACCAAGGAATCTAAAACCCCTAAATAGAATTAGTTTATTTTTTATATATAGAAGTTTAGAAATAGAATAAGTTACTGGTTGACTAGCTCAGAGGACCTCGCATCTTAAGGAGGAGGGATGTGTAACATAATTATTAGCTCAACAAAGTACAACACGATGATCATGTGATTACGTGATCACAATCATGTGACACCAACGGATCTTTTGTCCAACAACTTGCATATTTATTTATTTATTCGTTATGTTATTATCATTATGCATAGATCATTATGCATAACGATATTAAGATAGTAATTAAATATAAAACAGGTTTGTAACTAGGAGGGAATGTAAATAGTTTTAGAGAAAATATACTAACAACTTAAATAGTTAAGTGTTAGTAAAACAATTTATTATAAAATGTCCTGTAAAAAGACTTGCAAAAGGCATCGTCCACTGCCTCAAGTCTTTATAATTTAATAAAACAAAGCCTCTTTGTCTTGAATTTCCCCCAACAAGACCTGAATCCACCTAATAACCGAATATTTCAGTTACATTTGGTGATGACGACAGGACCTCAGGTCGCCTACCCGGGGAAAATCAATTTGAAGATGGCCTCACGCTGCTAAATTAAGCCCGAAAGTCTTGATCTATATGCGCAGTATATCTCTTTAACGTATCTCATTTCTACGACTGTCAATCAACGTTTCGCCAACATTATTTGTCAAATGCCCTTACCCGATGCCCTAAAATCCAGAGTAATATTAGTAAACAAGCGAAACAAAATAAAGAAAAAACAAAATCGATACTTAGCTTTTAGTATATGGTTCTTTATGCATGCCCAATCCCAAGACTTGTTGCCTATCGTCCTTTCTCATGTTGCCCTAATAAATAAAGAAATTAGTAAAGAAATAAAATAAAAAAAAAAAAATCAAATAAGATAAGCGACCCTATACTTATTTTGCATCCGGAAGTCCATTGTATACTACCAGGAAGACCTAAATACTGGGAAAACTTAAGATCTAAAAAAGAGAAAGAAAATGGTTAATAAAATAAAATAAAATAAAATAAAAAAAAACTCCCCACTTATCTAAAAATCAATCGTCCCAAAAACCAACGATTCAAAATTATACGCCCGGAAAGTCCATGATCTGTTCTCTAAGAAGACCCGACCTCCCAAGTTCTAGTTCTGGTATAATGAACCTAAAAGAAGAATAATTAGTAACCCGCCCAAAACCAAAGACGAAAATAAAAAAAAAAAAAAAAAGGAAAAAAGACTCTACTTATCTTACAATACTGGTCCAAGTCACAATGTAAACCGAAGTCCCTAACAAGTCCCATTCAAGCCGAAACCCCATGCACAAGTCTCAATTCAAGACGAAGTTCTATGTTCCGTCCTTTGAGTGACCTGCCTCTTCAAGGAAATTGCAAGTTCTAACAGCCTCACTTATAATAACCGAATAAAAAATATCAGAACTTCATTTTGAACCAAGAGCCAAAAAAAAAAAATAAAATAAAATAAAA